ATTTGATTGTCTGTGCGTTTTTTTTATTTTTTGCGCTATAAAAAAAAAAAGCCCGACAATTTTGAGAAAAAAAACAATATTTTGGACTTTTTTCTATTAAACATGTCCAGTAAAAAAAATGTTTAAATCACATTTTGTCATAAATTTAGGCCAAAATGTATTCTGCAACATGTCTGCTAAAAACAATCCCAATATGTGTAAATTACGTGAAAGTTATAGAGTTTACAAATGACGATATAGATACTGGAAATTTCTTTTCATACTAATAATGGCAGCGATCAGTGACTTATGGCGGCAATCAGCAACTTATAGCCGGACTGTGGCAGGCATTCTGACACTGGGGGGAACTGACTTGGTGTCACTGACATCCCCAGTGACACCAATACATTGATCAGTGCCAAAAAGAAAAAAGCAGCTGCCTCTGTACTAATGGCACTGGGCAGGAATGGGTTAACAATGAGGGGCAATCAAAGAGTTAACTGTGTGATGGGAGTGTTTTACTAGGGGGTGGGTGTCTGTGCTTCACTGTAAGCACACTGATCGGAATGGCTATGTTCAGCCATCCCGAGCAGCATGCCCAAACTGACAGGATGGAGGGCTGTTGGTAAACAATGCAGCCCTCCTTCCTGTCGGTGATCGCCAGGACCCGGTGATTGACACCCGGGGCGCAATCGGCGGAGCGAGCAAGGCAGTCGTGCATGTGCCCCCTACCTGGAAATGCAGAATCAAATATATGTATACCTTATTTTGCGCACAGGAGCTGCCCTGCAGCAGTAAATGTACTGTGGACGGTCCTTGTGGTTGTGGTTAAAAGTGTGTTGCACCTAACCACACAGTAGTGTGGTAACGTGTTTTGGTGGCTGTGAATGCATATGTGTTTACCAGATGTGTGGAGGTATAATTAAGTATTCATGGTGCCTGCGCACATCTGCAAAGGGCATTGCGTTTCTTTGGTGTGCAGGTAAAATCCATGCTATTGCATGAGTTTCTGCACCACAAATGGTCCTAAGGGCTGGTTCACACTATAGAAACGCAGTCTAGATGTGTTCCAGATGAATTTGACGCATTTTTTTTAGCATGTTCCGGTGTGTTTTTGACACGCTCCAGTGCGTTTTTATGCATTCCAATTAAATTTTTCCCCTCTGTTTTTCTTCAACTTAATTAGGGACATGTATGTTCCAGTGCTTTCCGGTGCATTTGTGATGCGTTTTACAGCATTACAGTATAGTTCTGTGCAGAAAAAATGCAGCCTGTTCTACTTTTTTTTCTGCACCAGGAATGCACTGGAACTGCAAGCACTGATGTGAACTATGACATTGACAACTATAACCTACGTTCTGTGCATTTTGGATGCAGAAAAAAAAGCAACTGAAATGCATGTAGTGTGAACTGGCCCTAAAGGTTATTATAGGTAAGGGCTTACCAGGAATTGTGAATGCAATCAGACTAGTGATGAGTTACAATTAGGAATCTTACAATACTGCTAGATCTGAGCTGTAGGTGATGGAAATGAGACACATTAACTAGATCAGTAAACAAATAGTAAATAAAAAGAGCTGAGCAGTGAACAGAAAGGGATCAGCAGTCTGGGGGAGAGAAACAATCAATTTATAGTTGCAATTAACTATAAACAGAAGGAAACTTGAAACTTGTGGAGCAGAGCAGGAGCTCCTCTAAATATCACAACACTGTGGCTGTGTGATAGAATGACAGGAGGCTAACAATGGAATTTAACAGCTGCAGATGGGCTTGTCAGTTGCCTGGGCCCCCCTCTGCAGCTGATGGAGTCGGGCCTCCTACAGGAGGGCCAAGGGTACCCCCTTATCAGTGGCCCTGACTGTAATGCACTGTACACTGTAACGCAGTGTACCTGTTGTGCTCCTCCTCCTCCTTCTCTCCTGTTGCTCCTCTGTCTGCATAGAAATCAGCCTGAAGTCATGTGGTCATTCCTCACCAGGCTGCCACTCGCTGGCTCCTCCCCACCTGCGAGCAACCTAGCTATTTCCTGGAGCAGTTTTTGGTAATCTTTTTTTGGAAGGCCTGGGGAAATAACTTTTGTGGACAGGATCCAGCATGCAGATCATATGTAGAGGACACCTGTATTACAACATGACATATGTGCAGCATATGCTAGGCGGGCACAGTACATGGCCTATGACAGGACAGCATGAGTTTATATGTATATATTCGTATACCCTTGATAAAGTCATATGACGAGTGACAAAACGTGTCATGGAGGAGTGTGTGGATGATGTCACGATGTTGCCATTCATCAGGATAGCGGCTTGTAGTACTCTACAAACGGCTCTTGAAATGACATTACAGCAGGCAATAGCATTCATTAAGTGGGCCTGTGCTTTGCCTTGAATTATATTACGGATGGTGTTTGTTTTGAGCATGTACATGACTAGTGCACCCGAGATAGGTTCATCCAGACCCCACTACACCACCATTACCCTTCCATACCAATCCCTTTACTTACTATACTTACAGAAAACATAACACCAATTTTGGAGTAAAATGGCCAACACGGCCTTTTATTAACAAATCAAGTTTAAACACATCAACCATTCCTTATAACAGAAAACATAAAGAGTTGTCGTTGGTCTTTGAAGGCACCCCCAAAATGATCCGAAATGCACCTGTGGACAACCATATTCCACTAGGCCTCCAGCCGCAACCAACCAGCTCGGAGACAACCATACCGTCCGCAGTGCAGCACCACCACCTTCCAGTTAAACCTTGGTTAACTGGAACGTTCCCGGGCACACCATACCAACTGCTTTAGTCACAGACTGAAATCGTCCACTGCTTATCTGTCCCTGTCCAAAATTTATGACGCTAGCTTTGAAATGTGCGCACATTGGAAAGGACTCACGCTGACACACAAGTTCAGTCTATGAATACTTCTAGTTTATTATAATGAGAAAGTGAACTTATATATGCAGAATGATGCGAGAGTTATGTGACAACAGCATAAGCATTATATTAGTCTTTGATTGGTCATTTTCACACGAAAACAATCTCCGTCATGGTATAGGTGTGATCTTCTTCCAGGCCTTATCTCATAGAGAAGAAAAACATTCCTTTGTTTCCCAAATCACACGGTGGGAGGGAGTCTGTGTGTGTGAGCAGACATTTCTTAAGCAAGGATTTTTTATAGTACCACAAAGCCCAGCAGGCAGAAAATATTCACACAACATATGTATTAAAGTATAAAAGTAAATATTTATAAAACTTATAGAAATAGTATATATATATATATATATATATATATATATTCAATAGGAAACGAAATAGGCATTTTACCAAATCCATCACACAACGATGGCTGCCACACCATTTTTGTACCTCCAAGATAAGAACCGCCTCCAAAGACCAACCACCGCCCAGGAACTGAAATAACCCCCCCCCCCCCCAGGAGGAACACAACACTCACCAAACAGGGAGGGCGTGAGGGAAGCTCTCTCTCCCACGTCCAGCTCCAACTGACGCCCCTCCCCAGGACACCCCACCCTAAAGTGCAGAAGACCCCACCTACACTCTCCTCTACCAACCAGATCCCCCAGCTATCCTTTACCAACCCTAATACTAACATTAACCCCTTACACGTCTTCCTTCCCAATCTGGGCCTAGTCATGCCTGCCCTGCGCTAATTCTTTGCTTCTTTTATCGCTGCGGGCATTTCTGGACTCTGCTGCTGAGATGATACTGCCATCTTGTGTTTAATCAGTACATCACTTCATCATACCTAGTGCAAAATACACCTCCAGAACGCAAGTGTATTTCTTATGTTTTAATTGATGAATAAAAGTTTAAAAAGGACAAAGCACTATGTTTAGTTCTTTTTAATGAAGAATATGGCTGCTACAAAGACGCTTATCAGGAGGGAGCTTACTTTGGAGTCTTTATTCAGCAAGCTGATCTTCTGAGTCCATATGGGACCAAAAGTGCAGTTAGACCGTAACATTGTATAATGTGAGGTCACACTGCGTGAGGTGAGCAGATATATGGTGCAGGATGTCTTTGCACAGGAATTGATGACACATGCACATATTTTTTCGTTATCCTAAGGAGGGTTCACTGAATGAACACTTTATTGATGTATTTATTTATTTTGTTTTATTTCACTATAATTAGCGCTTGAGTTATTCAATTTATTGTAGCTGAATGATTCTCTTTCCAACGGGATCCCATTTTTTTATTGTAGTTACTGATTTTGTGTAAAATGTGGTTACTTGCACCATGAACTGGTGAACAGGTGACAAATCATCTACTATAGATAAATGTTCTCTTGTTTGGTATCCAATGAAAATGCCATCTGTTTATTTAGCCACTTGCCTACTGGGCACTTTTACCCCTTTCGTACCCAGGCCAATTTTCAGCTGTCGCACTGTAATGCAAGGCTGGACACAAAAACCAAGAACATATCATACACACAATACACAGGTACGTTTAGCCAGCACTTACACCATTATTCTAAGCATATGAGAGACACTCTACCAAGTGTACAGCTGCTCTGGCAAACAGCATTCACTCAGCACCCCAAGAAATAACAGCATCTAACTGCAATATTCTTGCACTGTCAAAACCTCCACTTTTATTATCACACAGGAGGATATATCTGATGGTCATCACAATCTGCATAGTAACACACACTCATAGTAATGTGAGTATCACAGCATGAAATAAACGCATCTTTTGACAGCATCACAGCCTAGAATACAGAGCGTCCCCTTTCACATGGGAGGGCTTCTTCTTTCATCCTGTCCCAGGCCTCTTTTAACCACTAGCATACAGGGCACTTATACCCCCTTCCTGCCTAGGCCAATTTCCAGCTGTCACACTTTGAATGACAATTGCGCGGTCATGCAACACTGTACCCATATGAAATTTTTTATAATTTTTTTGAGACAGATAGAGCTTTATTTTGATGATATTTAATCACCTCTGGTATTTTTATTTTTTTCTTAAACAAACCAAAAAAAAACCACTGAAAATTTTGAAAAAAAAAATTTTTTTCTTAGTTTTTGTTATACAATTTTGTAAATAAGTGATTTTTATCCTTCACTGATGTGCGCTAATGAGGCTGCAGTGATGGGCACTGATAGGCTGCACTGATGGACACTGATAGGTGACACTGATGGGCGATGATGAGGCGGCACTGGTAGGTTGCACTGATGGGTATTGACAGGCATCACTGAAAGGCAGCACTGATACATGACACTGATATATGGCACTGACACACACTGATAGGCGGCACTGACAGTTGGCACTGACGCACACTGATAGGCGACACTGACTGGCATTGATAGGTGGCACTGAATGGCACTGATGGGTGACATTGAAAGGCAGCTCAGATGGGCACTGATATGTGGCATTGATGTGCACTGGTATGCACTGATATGTGGCATTGATGTGGCACTGATGGGCACTGGCACGTGGCACTTCTGGGGCCACACTGATCATCAAGGCACACTGATCAGTGCCCTGATGATCAGTGTACATGTCCCCTCCACAGAAAGCCGATTACCGGCTCTCTTCTCCTCTCCTCTCGAGCTGTCAGCTCAAGAGGAGAGAAATGCCGATAACTGGCGTTTCCGTGTTTACATGTGATCAGCTGTGATTGGACACAGCTGATCACATGATCGAGCCGACATCTTCGGCTCTTTCTGTGATCCGCTGTGTCCGAGGGACACAGCGTGCTGCTCGCTGCCTGAGCTGTTCATGCACAGTGAGTCTGGTAGGACGTCATCTGACGTCCTATCAAAGCGAGAGAACCACCTTGCGCCCGTCATTTTACTATAGGGCAGGTGCAAGGTGGTTAAATACCCCATTAAGCACTTCTTGACAACATTCGAAAACCTGATGAGCTCCACACCCACTTCAGGGAGTGTTACCTCAAGGGACCTTTTTGGAGTTTTTGGTTAAAAGTCACACCCAGTCACTTTTCTGGACAAACAACTCCTTATCATTTACACTCAATCCAAATGAAACATCTCTTACTACACAAACAAGTTCTTATATACTGTTAACTTAAAGATTTCTAACTTCTCAAACAAGTAAATCTTTCTAAATGTAGAAACAAGTTCTTAAACTGCATAAACAACTTCTTATCTAATTTAAGCAGTCCAATGTCTTGTGACTCTAAGTTTTCCTTTAGCTTTAAGTAATGACATCAGTGTCATTCCTCATGCTTCTGGCATATGGGCAGTGATGCTTTATTGTAAAAATCCTTGAAGGAACAAAGGGTCCAAAGCCAACACATTTCATAGGCATTACACGCACTTTGAATGACAATTGCGCAGTCATGCAACATTGTAGCCATATGAAATTTGTTCACACAAACAGAGCTTACTTTTGGCGGTATTTAACCGCCTCCCACCCGCCATATAGTAAAATGACGGATGTAAGGCAGTTCTCCCGTTCTAACCGTGCATGCGCGGCTTTGGGAGCAAGCAGCGCAGCGATCGGCGGTGCACTGTGTCCCTCGGACACAGCGGATCACCGATCAACAGAAAGAGCCGAAGATGTCGGCTAGGTCATGTGATCAGCTGTGTCCAATCACGTCTGATCACTTGTAAATAGGGAAATCACGGTTAACGGCATTTCTCTCCTCACGAGCTGTCACGCTGACAGCTCGTGAGGAGAGGAGAGCCGGTAATCGGCATTCCTCGGAGCGGACGTGTACACAGATCATCAGAGCACTGATGATCAGCGTGCCCTGATTATCTGTGAAACTCATACAAATGAGCGCAGAGAGGCCACTCCAGGTGGAAACATGTGAACAGTTAATCATGAGCTCACCACTGCTGCCTTGTTAATCATTTGCATGATGAAAAGAACTGAAAAAAATAGGCGCTGTGGAAAATGCTCTCAGACAAGCACCTTAACCCCTTCACGCCTAAGGGTAAAACAAATCTAAATGCCTAAGCACAATTCTGCACCGTTGACATGTGTGATAGCAAAACCGTACATATCATCACAACTACTTTGCACATCCAGGTGGATTATACAGTTGTGTCCAAAATTATTCAACCCCCACTGAAATTGAGTGTTTTGGCCAGTTTGACATTGCTTTTGATCATTCAGTCATCTTGCTTACATTTACATTAAAGAGGCACTTGTAGGTCAGACAAATATAACATAACAGTTATAATGAAATAACCACAAATGTCTTTTCTGTGCTCACAGCATTATCAGTTTTATTCACCCCCAAGTGACATTCAATCTTAGTACTTAGTACAGCATCCTTTTACAGTTATAACAGCTTTTAAACGTGAAGCATAGCTTGACACAAGTGTCTTGCAGCGATCTACGGGTATCTTCGCCCATTCTTCATGGGCAAAGGCCTCCAGTTCAGTCACATTCTTAGGCTTGCGCACTGCAACTGCTTTCTTTAAGTCCCACCAGAGGTTTCTCAATCGGATTTAAGTCTGGTGACTGCGATGGCCACTCCAAAATGTTCCAGCCTTTCCTCTGCAACCATGCTCTAGTGGACTTGGAGGTATGCTTGGGATCATTGTCCTGTTGAAAGGTCCAACGTCTCCCAAGCCTCAGGTGTGTGACGGACTGCATCACGTTTCCATCCAATATCTCCTGGTACTGAAGAGAATTCATGGTACCTTGCACACGCTGAAGCTTCCCTGTACCTGCAGAAGCAAAACAGCCCCAAAGCATGATTGACCCTCCACCATGCTTCACAGTAGGCAAGGTGTTCTTTTCATCATAGGCCTTGTTCTTCCTCCTCCAAACATAGCGTTGATCCATGGGCCCAAACAGTTCTAATTTTGTTTCATCAGTCCACAGAACACTATCCCACAACTTTTGTGGTTTGTCCACATGGCTTTTGGCATACTGCAGTCGACTCTTCTTATTCTTTGGAGACAGCAAGGGGGTACGCCTGGGAGTTCTGCACGGAGGCCTTCATTACGCAGTGTGCGTCTTATTGTCTGGGCTGAAACTTCTGTACCCACATCTGACAAATCTTTTCTCAGTTCCTCAGCAGTCACACGGGGACTTCTCTCCACTCTACGCTTCAGGTAGCGCACAGCAGTCGAAGTCAGCATCTTCTTTCTGCCACGACCAGGTAGCGTTTCAACAGTGCCCTTTGCCTTGAATTTGCGAATGATGCTTCCTAAGGTGTCTCTTGGTATGTTTAACATCTTTGCAATCTTCTTATAGCCATTGCCCTTCCTGTGAAGAGAAATCACCTCTTCTCTTGTCTTCCTGGACCATTCTCTTGCCTTCACCATGTTTGTAACCACACCAGTAAATGTCTAGAAGGAGCTGAGTATCACAGTCATTTTAAAGCTGCCTAATTGGTGCTTATTATGCTTGATTGCTGCTCGGTGACATCCACAGGTGTTTTCAATACCTGATGGAAAGCACCTGTATGAACCTCTGTTCTTCAGAGTGGTAGTCTTTAAGGGGTTGAATAATTGTGGCAATGAAGAAACCACATAAGAACCATTTACTACTGTATTACATAAACAATTGATGTCATTTTAGTTGCATTTGGGTAGTTACAACGTCCTTGTAGGATTTGATTCTGAATACAATTCCAAATGTACACTATAGTCCCTAAACCCCTTTACAGCATTGGGGGTTGAATAATTTTGGACACAACTGTACCTTGATTTTTTCAGGACAAATTGGGCTTTCATTTGGTGGTAAATGGTAATGGATATCTCCTGATTTTTTTTTTATTATCAAAGGAAAACTGGCCAAAAATAGTAAAAAAAATCCTTTTATTTTAATTTAGCTATGTGTTTCTTGTTATGACCATAACCTACCACCAAAGAGAAACCCAAAATAAATTCTCCAGCTCTTGACGATCGCAGCGATACCATATATGTGTATGTTATTTGTTGTTTGTACCCTTAGTACAGCCCAGAAACCATAGTGCGCATTTTGTTTTTGTCTTTTTTTTTTTTTTTTTTTTACCTAAAACACACTGACACTAACTGACACTGACATTAAGATTAACTGACACTGATACCAATTTTTTTTAAATCCTGACCTTGACTTTTGACCCTGACCTTTGACCTTGACCCTGACCTTTGACCTTGACCCTGACCTAAACACTAACCTTGGCACTGAACTAGATCAAACCTTGATCTAGGTATTTTTTTTTTATTTTTTCTTTTATTTTTTTAATATTTATTTATTTATCTTTTTTTTTTTTTTTTTTTTTTTTTACAAACTTTTTTTTTTCCTTCTCTCTGACAGGAGTTCGAGAGATACAATGTATCTCTCTTCTCCATTCATAGAGAGAGAGAGAGAAAAAAACAAGGGGGCCGGGCTGCACAGTGACTGATCACTGTGATAGCCAATCAGAGGCTATCACAGCGATCATGTGACCCGGAACCGGGAGTCCCGGGTCCCGATCGTTAGAACGGGACCCGGTGCTCTCAGTGACACCGCGGTCTCGGTGCTGGGAGCGCGCTGAGGGGCGCGCTCCCAACACAAAGACAGGTACGCAAATATGCGGCCCCACGGAAAAAAGCCCAGGTCCGTGAGGCCGCATATTTGTGTTACGTCGGCGTCAAGGGGTTAATGAAGGTGCATCTTTATTGGGTGAGACAAAGTAGCAAATATAATAAAATTTGACCAGCCTGAAGTGAACAGTGTGACTCCAACGGACGGCCGTCTGCTCTGAAGGGAGCGGAGATCGGAGAATGCTCCTGTCGACTTAAATCACGTTGTGTCAGCACCTGGCGTCCCGGGTGGTGTCGCCATGGCAAGCGAAGCATTGGCTTCAGCTGGGAGCACATGTAGGGTTACCAAGACGACATGTTTCACGCAGTTGCGCTTTGTCAAGTCTCTGGTAACCCTATATATAATATATACACAATATATACACCGTGTTCCAAATTATTATGCAAATTATATTTAAGTGTCACAAAGATTAAATATTTTGGTTTTCAGTTTAACTCATGGATGGCATGGTGTCTCAGGGCTCTTTTGATCACTGAAAACAATCTCAGACACCTGTGATAATTATATTGGCCGGTGAGCCCAATTTAAGGAAAAACTACTAAAGGAGGGTGTTCCACATTATTAAGCAGAGCACCATTTTCAAGGAATATGGAGAAGAAAAAGGATCTCTCTGCTGCTGAAAAGAGTGAAATAGTTCAATGCCTGGGACAAGGTATGAAAAAATTAGATATTTCACGAAAACTTAGGCGTGATCTTCGCACTATTAAGAGATTTGTGGCTGATTCAGAGTACAGACGGGTTTGTGCAGATAAGGGCACATTGAGGAAGATTTCTGCCAGATCCATGCATCGGATCAAGAAAGCAGCTGCTAAAATACCATTACATAGCAGCAAACAGATATTTGAAGCTGCTGGTGCCTCTGGAGTCCCATGGACATCAAGGTGTAGAGTCCTCCAGAGTCTTGCAACTGTGCATAAACCTTCTATTCGGCC